GCCCGCGATGCGCTCGAAGATGTCGTTGACGAACGAGTTCATGATGCCCATGGCCTTGGACGAGATGCCCGTGTCCGGGTGCACCTGCTTCAGCACCTTGTACACGTACACCGAGTAGCTCTCCTTGCGGCTGCGCTTGCGCTTCTTGCCGTCCTTCTTCTGCGCCTTGGTCACCGCCTTCTTGGAGCCCTTCTTCGGGGCAGGAGCGGACTTGGCTGGCTCAGGCATCGTTGCAAAGACAACACAATGAAGCGTTCCGAAATAGAGCGTTATTTATATAGCTTGTATGCAAATAGAGGTTTATCGTTGTCATTACCTCATTGGACGAAATAGTCCAATGAAATGCTTCGACGCAAATAGTGAATTCAAACCTACTTTTTGATTGGCTACTTTTATGTACTCGATCATACACTCTTAGTGGGCAGTTTCTATTTCCAAACACTAAATAATTTATGCTTTATGTTCCCGGCCAGCCTTCACCCCCCTCTAAACAAGGAACAAAAGACTGACGACCAAATATGAATACTTTTGTGTCGATGTGTTGTTCCGCTTTTGAAATAAGGATCCCGGGAAAATTTTCTGTAAGGGAAAACTTGCTTGCGAAACTGCCGCTGTTTTGTGTAGATTTGACAAATTGAGCAGTATTGTTAAAGCCACAATTTTTGAAGAACTTGGTAAATTTCAACAGCGGTGTGATTTTAATCATAGCTAGGCAGAAGCGATATGTCCCAAGATTAAAAATTGTAAATAAAGTTAAAATTTAAAATTGTAAATTGTAAGGCTTTTCTTCAAAATTTAATTTTACCGATTGTGTACAAAAGTGGACTTTTTGAACCAACCCAAGACCTACAGAGTTGTTTTCACACTTTTGCAGACTTGTGTGACCGAAAAGAAAACCAAAATAACAAAAGGCGACGATTAAGCAGGACAACTGAGTACCTTTGCAATAGGTGCAGATTCCCTACAGTATGCTAGTAACCAATCAAAGGTCTTACTCAGTCAGTAAACTGCCAGGCGCGGAGTTTGAGAATTCCGACCAATCAGGAAGAAGTCTCCTTTATAAATGGCGCGAGAAACACTGTTGGCTCAGTTATTGCTCTGACCCGTTAGCCATGGCTCGCACGAAGCAGACGGCCCGCAAGTCGACCGGCGGCAAGGCCCCGCGCAAGCAGCTGGCCACCAAGGCGGCCCGCAAGAGCGCGCCGGCCACGGGCGGCGTCAAGAAGCCGCACCGCTACCGGCCCGGCACGGTGGCGCTGCGCGAGATCCGGCGCTACCAGAAGTCGACGGAGCTGCTGATCCGCAAGCTGCCGTTCCAGCGGCTGGTGCGCGAGATCGCGCAGGACTTCAAGACGGACCTGCGCTTCCAGAGCTCGGCCGTCATGGCGCTGCAGGAGGCTTGCGAGGCCTACCTGGTGGGGCTCTTCGAGGACACCAACCTGTGCGCCATCCACGCCAAGCGCGTCACCATCATGCCCAAGGACATCCAGCTGGCGCGCCGCATCCGCGGGGAGCGGGCTTAACTCGTTCTTCTGTGAGGCCCACCTTCAACCCAAAGGCTCTTTTCAGAGCCAATCACCTTTTCTGTAAAAGGAGCTGTCAATGTGTTAAGCTTTAATATCCAGTCCAATCTTGTGGGTTCTCTTCGATCAGGTCCAATCTAGCAGTTAGGAAGTTTGTTACCTTTACCTGTCCCCATAATTTTGGCTCTTATGTTTTTGAGTGGTTGCAGACTAAGGTGGTTCTTGGATGTTTTGCTTGGAAGTTTGGCTAACATTTGCTAAAATGTTACTGTGGTTTTAAGGCCTTGCTGGCCTTGAACTCACCGTTTTGCCAGTGTGTGTTTTGTACTGCTCCCTGTCACAGTGGCCTGTGAGTCACTAGAAATTTTGATGAAATGTCTGTCAAAATTCTCACTTCCTACGAGGCACCTGTTTGATCCAACAAGGTGGGTCAAGCCTGATAGTATTGACATCTAAGGTCTTGTGGGTATACTTATCGACTTCCGAAAGATCCTGCAGTGGAAATGTTCTTCAAATGCTGTGCCATTCAGAAACAGCAGCATCTGATAATCCATAGTGGATGATTGCCACGGCATGGCAGTCCAGATGCATTTGGCAAAGAAACGGTTTTCTGGGGAAGTGTTCATGTCCTTTTTCGTTGCCAATATTCTGCTTGTTCCAGCTGTGATTGCTTGACGTGACCCTACTTGCAGCTGAAGCTATGGATTTTGAGACAGGTTTAAATGGTTCTGGTTTGCTTTTAAGTTGGCAATTATAACCACGCTTTCCGATGGTCCTGAAAGGGAAACGTTTTTCTAGTGGCACATTTGGAAGGGAAAGTCATTGTCTGCTGTTTTCACTCCTTGACTGTCCCCATGGATCCTGTTTGTCCTACCACAGCTTTTTCCAACCATGAAAGTAGAAGGCTAGATTGAAAATAGAGCAGCAGGGATAGGAACTGGCACCTGTATGGAATGTCAAAGTCACAGGCATGGAAGGAATTTCCAAACCTGACCCAGTATAGTTTAGTTAGGGCCAGACTACAATGCAGTAGCATGTACAACTAACTAGTTGCTATGCATAGCCAGACAACACTGGCTTTAAGGTGCATTGCTGTACAACCTAGAAAATATGTGTAATGGTCTTAGAAGTGTGCTGGAAAAGAACCTTAGTGTGAAAATCCCAACCATTTGCTCATGGATCAGTGCTACTAAGAAACTGTGTGAGCTTGCAGGCCAAATGGCCTATGTGGCCTTTAGCACTGATGGGCCCCAATTCTTATGAATCAAGGCCCACCTAAGTCTGGTTATCTCACAGATGACTCCAAGTAATTAAGTGGGTGCTTACCATAGTTACTGGAGGCATGGCTGTCCCACTGAGATGGGTAGGGAACATGTGGTATTTCTCCTTACCTTGCAGGGCGTTGTGAATTGCCTCTTTGCAAGCTATTGAGGACTGCTCCTGTAAAAACCCTGTGAATGTGCTGTTCACACACTCCAGTAAGGGATGTCGGTCTGCCAGTTACCTGCTCTCAGACAAGAACCCCGGTTCAGATGTGCTGAACTTGAATAAACCATCTTGAATAAACCATGCTTGTACCCTTGGATCTACTTCAGACTCCTGGTGATTTCTGAGGATCTCAAATCTGGGCACAACAATAGCTGGTGATTATGAACTTCTTTATGCTGCATGAATTTAGTGGCGACTCAAATATACCAGTTTTTGTGCTGTGCATACATGCATACTACTTATTTCTAACTCTGGCATACAAGGGTGTTAACAATGGTTAGTAATAAAGGGAAAATCATAGTAATGTGAGAATTCATCCTATATTGTACATATTGATGTCTGGTACAGTACAACATGAGGATATCGGAGAAAGGCATGATTGATGTCTGTGAGTTTGCAGCATAAAACTTGAAGGAATGCAAGTTCAGACAAAAATGCTGTTTTTCTTTCCTTTTTTTCTTTTTGGCTGTGGTTGGCTTTTGGTATTTTGAACTGTGGAAGCAAAAGTGGAGGAACTATTATATGCCTAAATTCTAAGCACTGCAAAGGGTCTTGGGTTAGTTGAGTAGACAAGTAACTAGAAAAGAAAGTCACTAGAAAGATTGCTTTGTACAGTTTTTTGGCTTTAACTCCCATTACATAGTAACACTATTAATTTTCTTCTGGTATCGGATGATCCATTTTTCACAGGGACTGTGCAGCACCTGTTAAGAAGCATAAAGTTCAGTGTGTTTGTTCTTCCGTTCGCTTTCAGGATCCCATATCTGTCAAAGTAGTCCATACGCAATAACTGTTTATTTTGGGATGCTCTCTGACCTTTGCTTTACAAGATATCAGTTTGAGGTAACTGAGTTATAACTTTATAGAACTCTATTGCATATTTTCATATCTTCTCGTTGGCATTACAAGTTAAAAAAAAATCAATGAAAACTGTGATAATTATTTAGGAATTTGTTGCTTTGTATTGCTTGAGATTCAATGGTTAGCCCAAATGATTGCAATTTTTTATGACATATTTTTGGGTAGTTTTAGCTGCTTTGGTGGTAAAGTGTGCCTATTAGGTTTGGTTGGTTTCACCCATCAAAATTATCTTGTCAACATATTGCTAACCTTGTTTCAAAAAGTGTATGATATTTAGTACTGTGCGCTTGAAATATTGAGGGTGTGCGGTAAAAATTAATTTGAGCATTGTATTCTAAGGACATTATTTATCTGTGAAATTCTGTGCAACTCATTTTGCAAAAAGTCTATATATAAAAACCTAGCTCTAACTACATGATTATTTTTTCTGTTACTTGCATAAAGTCCTGTGCTGGGATTAATATAGGGAAATATAGTCAATAACTGCACCATCCTGTTTTTTCATATTGTAATACAGGAGTCCTTGTAATTTTTGTCTGCAGGAGTCCTTGTAATTTTTGTCTGCAATGTTTCATTGCTTAGAAGTATGATGCATACTTTGTCAAATGAAACTCCAAGCCTATATAGGCATTGCTTAAACAATGCTTCGAATTTCTTCTGTGTTTTATTCCTGTTGGTATTATAACACTTTGTTTCTCATACCCTGTTTATGCAGATCATTGTGCTAACATAGATCAGCAACATACGTTCAGACATGAGTGAACAGATGCTTACAGATTTCAAATCCCAAACCTGGCTTACCCTATTAAGCTGTATTGCTTGGCAATTGTGGTTACAAATTTGTTTGCATTTGGTATTGTTTCAGTTCTGTTAGGGAGATTAATAGAACATGTGTCGACTCCACATACTAAAAAAAAAAAATGTACTTACACTTCTGTTTATAGATTCCTTACACACTTGTGACTTTTGCTATATCATCCTCTTCCCCCTCCTCCCTCCTGGTAGTACTAGGGGGCGGGGACTCAAAGGGTTTCCCCGCCTTGTCTTGTTCTCGCGCTTTCAAACAGGTCCGCCGCATTGCTATATAAGCAGACTCTTCTTGCATTCCTGGCTACCGGTTGCCTTTAGTGCTTCATTGTTTTCAAAATGTCTGGTCGTGGCAAGGGAGGCAAAGGCCTTGGCAAAGGCGGTGCCAAGCGCCACCGCAAGGTGCTGCGCGACAACATCCAGGGCATCACCAAGCCCGCCATCCGCCGCCTGGCGCGCCGCGGCGGCGTCAAGCGCATCTCGGGCCTCATCTACGAGGAGACCCGCGGCGTGCTCAAGGTCTTCCTGGAGAACGTCATCCGCGACGCCGTCACCTACACCGAGCACGCCAAGCGCAAGACCGTCACCGCCATGGACGTGGTCTACGCGCTCAAGCGCCAGGGACGCACCCTCTACGGCTTCGGCGGTTAATGCAGTCAGACCTAATACACTGCAGTAAATTAAAGGCCCTTTTCAGGGCCCCCAACTTTTCTCTAAAAGGAGCTGGCATTTGTGCTTGATTTTTCTTTTTTTTTGTTTTTTTCTATTTAGTTTTAATTATTGACATTGTATTATGTAATACAGTTTTATAGGCACTGGGTTATACTTGATATTTAAGTGACTTGGCCATATGTCCAAATTTATAAGTAGGGTTTTGGACCAACATGTGAAGGGTGGTGAAGTTTTGTTATGTCTTTGAACTGCAAGTTTGAGCACCAATGTGTTGATTATGGGTCTCCTGTACTCACACATGGGTGAAAGCATTTGATTTGTATATCATTGAAACTTAATGGAAATAATGGATGCTTGGGTTTGTTTGAAAGGTTATCTGTTGTAATGTAACATTCTTGCAAAATAAGGATACCAGTCTTTCTCTTATGTGTGATAGCTTTTTAAAGTGTATCTTTAATATGTATTATTTGTATCTTACAAAGTGACTTAATGCTTGCCACCTTCAGAATCTTGCATGAAATTAGTAAGTCCCTAGTCACTGTACTTTGAAAATGCAGGCTTTTCTTTTACTTATTGATTTGTTCTGAAGTTAGTTTCCTGAATCAGATGCCAGTGTATACAGGCCTACTTGTTAGCTTCCATGTTTCTAGCAATGAAGTTATAAATAAATTGGAAAAGTTCTTGTTTTAAATATATAAACATTGGTTAACTCAATAGGGTTACATGGTAACTGTCAAAAAATTAAATGTTAGAATACATTTCTAACATTTCATTGATGGAACCACACAATATCTGCAAATTCCCGTGAGGAAGAAAAACAGTTGGGGTCTTCGTTCTAGTCTTGTTCCAGTGATGCTTAGAGGGCCATGGCTTCCATGGAGAAGCACAGAATCAGGATCAGCCTTAGGGTGGGTTCCTCAGTTTTCTGCCTTCAATTATGTTGATGATTTGGCAACACTCCAAGTTAGTTGATATTACCTCGTATGTGTAAGAGGGGCTAAGCCAAATGGGAATTTTTGAGGAACATGGGAATTCTGGTAATGGAACAAGGAAGGAAGGCCTGACACCAGAGCATCAGTGTGTTGGGGGTATATTTTAGCCTTTGTTAGGCTGAGGCTTTCCAGTCTAATCAACAGATGATTTTTACACTTGGGGCTGGTTGCTGGGAAATCCAAGACTGACAATTAGGCATGGTATGTGAGCCATGGTGAAGCCAAGCAGGATGCTGTGCTTGCCACTGTCTCAAAGCTTTTAGTCTTCATGGAAAACTAGCACAAGGTTACAAAGTAGTTTTCATAGGAATCAGGCTGCCTAGAACCTGTGGCTTTGGGTAGATGGATACACATTCTAAAAACATAACCAAAAATCATTATGCACATATTTTATTGTCCATTGTTCTCCACACAAACGATAATCATCACATTATCCCATGTGACATAATTTTGAAACAAATCAGTAAGTATGACCTGCTAGGGTTGCTCTTGCCTCTTGCACTCTGCTAAAGCCAGGATCCCCTGATTTCACCTTGACTAAAACTGGCTGTTCACAATTCTTTCAGTGCTGTGTCTCAGTCTCTATACATTTACTGTGCTGGAATGCAACATTGAAGTAAATTTTCATTTTTAATAACTCAATTTGGTGGGTTTCAATCCTCTCCTCAGGAGCAGATTAAGGGAATCTTCCCAACCTGGCCCTCACAGGGCCATTAGTTTGAGCAGCACAGTACTAATACAATCCTGTGAAGATTGTCTATACTTAAAAAGTTCTCCAATCAGCAATTTACCAGAAGAAGAAGAAGCAGGGAAGAAATGGGAGCCCACAGCCAAAACCAAAAAACAAAAACCAAAAACAACAACAACAACAACAACAACAACAAAAACTAAAACAAAGCAATAACAAAAAAATCCAGTCCAAAATGGATGGACTGTCAGCTCTTTCCTGAGACACCTGCCTGATGTAGCAGATGTACTTGTTTTCATTAAACCTCATGCTATCTGACTTAGCACTACTCTGTGTATCTGTGTTTTAAAAATTATTTTTTTATTACTGATTTGAAATGCAGAGTTAACAGGGAGAAAGCTGCTTCATCTATCAGAGCTAGGGGCTTATTCTGGTGTCTCATGTGGGTGGCAGGTTCCCAAACACTTGCACCATCTATTTTCCTCATAGAGCATTGTTGGTGAGTCAGATTAAAAGTAGAACAATCAGGACATCAATTGTCACCCATGTGGGATGCAGGTTTAAAAGAAAATAGCCTAAGTATCTATGCCACAATGCCAAATCCTCAAGTGTGAACTCTTTCTTGCACACAGAACCTTCTAGCTGCTGTCTCTAGTAACATAATCACTCAAAGGCCTGGTGGCTTGTCGTAGCGGCTAAAGTCCTCACCTTGAAGTTGCTGGGATCCCATATGGACACGGGTTCTAATGCAGGCAGCTCCACTTCCCATCCAGCTCCCTGCCTGTGTCCTGGAGGAAGTTCCTGGATTCTGGCTTCTGGATTCAGATCGGCATAGCATCGGCCCTTGCGCTCACTTGGGGAGTGAGTCATCAGGCAGAATATCTGTATATCTATCTGACTTTCCAATGAAAAAATAAATAAAATCTTTAAAAAAAATAATCATCCAATAAAAATGGGCATCTTAATTTTCCATTCCTCTGAGGCCTAATCCTTGCCTTCAAGAGTTCCATAAATTCCAGATTGTAAGAGATTTGGTGACTGAATTCTTGTTCTTTTCCTGTCCCAGGGGAACCAAAGCAGAAAACACTGCAAATTCCACCTAAGTTATTCACAAAAAGAAACAGAATAGAGACAGAAATAAATGCATCACAATACCCACCATATTTCTGAAAGAGAAATCTGAAAATTCTTCCTTAGAAACTTATTTTAGGAAGAAACATTGAACACAGGTGGCATGAGTGATGGAGGCAGGGAGATAGCCAACAGCACTGAATGTGCCAAGCAGGCACTGCTCAAACCCTAGCCCCTTCCATGCAATTCCAATCCACATCCCATCAAGCACCTGAGCCCACTTTCCAATCAAGCACCAGATGCCATGAAAATTACTAGGCTTCAACACATGCTCTAAGACACAAGTGTATCAGAAGCATGACAGTCTCTGAAATTACCAAGTGTGCTAAAGCTCCTCTCCAAACTCCACCTTTCTTCAATATACATCCAGAACAGTTTCCGATTTTTGTTGCATCCACATGACCGCTGAAACAGAATGATATACTCACCAACGTTCCTTACTAGAGTGTGGCCCTGAGTTTACAGGGATTTTATAGGGCAGTTTACAATAGTTTGTTGTGGCTGGACAGCCTGTGCCTGTCTTCTTTCTGGTCCAGTAGTTAAGATAACCAGACTCAGGCCTTGGAGGCAACTGTGAAACAACCAGACTGGGGTCTTGATTCCTGAGAACTGAAAAGTATCTGTGCTGAAGGCCACACAGGTAGCTTGGCCTGTGAGCCCACACAGTCCCACACAGTTTTACAGTCAAGCAAGTAAAGCAGGAGTGATAAAAGAGAACAATATTGCAGTTAACAGTGAAGCATGTTTACTCCATTTTGATTTCAATGCTACATTTTGTAGTTTGCAGCTTTTATTTTCTCCTTGCATTTCTGTACACTCTGAGTGTGTGGGTTCCTTGTGCTTTCTTGTTCTCCTTTGACTACATTTCCCTCTTGAATTCCCTTATGTATGGAAAAAAGAACCTGGTAGAAGTGTAACAGGAAGGTGGGAGGGTCTCTCTCCCTCCAATCAATATCATAGCCTTTGAGGAAAGCAGTCTTTATGTTTCTCTTCTCATGTCACCTTACTTCACAATTTTAAGAAAATTCTAGAGTTGACTTTTCTCTAAGTAACAATTTTTGTGCACAAATTAAGACTCCTCAAAGTGATTGTAAGAAGCAGACATCATTATTAACATTCAAACTATTGCAATGAAGATAGACTCTATTGTAATGAGGAAAGCTAGATTGCAGAAACAAATCAGAGAGGTGTTTCATTTGCTGACTCACTCCCCAATGACTTGGGTGGTCCAGTCCAAGCCAAAAGCTAGGACCTTTTTCCAGGTTTCCACAAGGCTGCAGGGGCCTAAGCACTTTAAGCCATCCTATGCTGTTTTCACACTTGCAGGGAACTGGAACAGAAATGAGCACAGAAAAAAAGAATACAAACAAACAAACAAACAAAACTGAAAACAAAACAGAAATGAAGCAACCAGGACTCTGACACCTGCTTGGGTGGCTGTAGGGACACCGCCACCCATACAGGATGGAAGCATCACAGACTAACTGTAGTGTCTACCTGTGATTTTTTTTTTAACATACATTTTTTGTAAGTTTAGTTAATATTCCTTCAGATGCCCTGAGCTCCTACTGGGTGAGGTCCTGGTTCAGGCTTTGGTGTTACAGTGACAAGGCAGAACAGGCTTACTCTTTGCTCATGATAGGTGAATGAAGATGCATAGAAATGCAGATAGGTGGCTCGTGTTTTGTTGGTGCCTGGGTTATGGGTCACCACTGATACCACACTCTGAGAACAACTGTGACAGAAATCCAAGAGTGAATCAATAAGAAAAATCATAAAAGGAAATGAAAGGGCCAGACTGAGCATGGGGTTTAGGCTAGAAATGGCTGTAAATTCTGAATTGGGCAGGTAGGAAAGATTTAAATGAGAATAGTAAAATTTTCAATTATGCTATTGGTCAACATGAATAGTTTCAGTTCCTCCCTTGTTTGATAGGCCGAGGAATTTGAGTAGGGATTCTCTCAAGATGATCAAACATATTAAGGGAAGCCTCTGGAGAGATTTGCCATCAAAAGAATTAACCAAAGACGTTGAGAAGTTAAACCATAGTCTACAGTCTCCCTACTCTTCAAACTTGGCTATAGCGTTTCAAATTGAGAAAAACTTCACATAATGTGCGCATGGCTGACGCTTAACAGACCCTCAGACTTGCAATGACTATGCAGCCGATTGTTGTAGCTAATGGTGCCATCTGTACTAACCCCTAACATGGCAGCACCGGTTTTTCTCAAAAGTTAGCAAGTTTACTTCAGCAAAGATATCCCAAGAAACCTGAGAATTCAAACACAAAAGCAATGTAGCTTTGTGTAGCGCAGTTCCACTCCTGCCGGAACCACAGCCTCCCCTTTGTTCAGCCCCGAAAATCGCCATCTTGGTTGTAAACCTACAATGTTGCACTTTTCAAAACTAAGTGTAAGGCGGCCCACCAAACTAAAATACACAATGTTACCTCCCACGAGTCGTGTAAACAGCACTTCTTGTGATCAACTGGGTGGCCCTGAAAAGGGCCTTTGATGAGCTACATTGTGCAAATAAGGGAGCTCAGCCGCCGAAGCCGTAGAGGGTGCGTCCCTGGCGCTTGAGCGCGTAGACCACGTCCATGGCGGTGACGGTCTTGCGCTTGGCGTGCTCGGTGTAGGTGACGGCGTCGCGGATGACGTTCTCCAGGAAGACCTTGAGCACGCCGCGGGTCTCCTCGTAGATGAGGCCCGAGATGCGCTTGACGCCGCCGCGGCGCGCCAGGCGGCGGATGGCGGGCTTGGTGATGCCCTGGATGTTGTCGCGCAGCACCTTGCGGTGGCGCTTGGCGCCGCCTTTGCCAAGGCCTTTGCCTCCCTTGCCGCGACCAGACATGCTGAGTTAAGAACCTGCACAGCGTTCTTCTGCTCGCTGTAGGCCCTTATATAGCAACGCGGCGGACCTTTTTGGAAACCGATTAGGCGAGGGCGGGAACGAGAGGTCTGTCTCCGCCTCCCCGCCTCCCGCCTCCGCCGCTGTCCCCGCCTCCTGCCAAGGGAGGCAGAGGGAAGGACTGGTGAGGGAACGTGAACTAGTGCCGCTTGCTGCTTGAGTCCTTTGTTCACTTGGCTGTTTTCTGTCTCCCATTCCCCGCCTGTGAGTACCCAGGAAGTTGATGTACTGGTATCCTCCCAGTCTGGCAATTTGCACAGAAGAGAAAATAATGTTACGTTTGCCTGCAGAAAGGACAGAGGTCAGAATAAAGAAAAATTTTAGGGAGACATACCTTGGATAAGTGTAAAGGTTACTCTGGTTTGGAACAATCCACTCGTATTCATTATTAAATTTGAGTGGTCACGAACCACTACGTTTGACAGACGCTCATGCGTGCGCCTCACTTTCAGCATTCTTCATAAAGGAAGCTCTAGGAAGGAAAGCCAATGTTAATTACCTTATCCCCCAACTCATACAGTGCTATCAGTGTTGTCTGCGTTGCGAGGTGAGATGTCCTGACCTTGGACACTGAATCCTTCCTAATGAGAGGCGTTGCTGGGCCTGACTCTATGCTTTGACTTCTCATGGCTTCCCTACCAGGAAAGGGTTAATGAAATCTCAGGAACTGAAAATTGAGGCTACCAACAGAAATTGCCTGGTCACTTTATGGTGTAGAAATGAAACCAGTGAAGCCATCCTTTATACATAGATCATGGGTTGCTCTTTTTAGTGGATCCCATGCATTCACAGAAGTGCCCCATGTGTTTTACATAGATAATCCTGATGGTCCCTTTTTTGCTGGTGTTTATCTGTAGTTCATTTCTTGGACTCAGAGTCGACTTGGGATTTGAATTAGGCTGGTTTATCTTTAGGCATAGAGGCATAAGCATCATTCACTCATTTATGTTCCACTGCAAACTACAAATCGTTGCAAATAAAAGGTTTTTCACAGATTGTCATATGTTCCATCCATCCTGTCTATATTAGCTGTTTTACACAATTGCTTGCTTACATGTCAATCGTTAAAGATCTAAAGTATGTTTCTCTAGTCACTCAAGCACCTAAATGTGCTTCATAGACACGGGTGGATGTTGGCTCTTAGGCCCCACAGACACAGCATACTTCTGTCCTTGGCGAAGCCTCTAATGGACTGTGCTTTGACAGGGGTTTTCTTGCGAGGAGACCCCAGTCAAGATTGGAGAAGTTTAGGGGGATGCTTGAAGATTGAGATCTCCAGGAATTGAGGTGTGTGATTGTTTTTGGAGCAAAACAACAACTCTGCCAACTTCTGAGTCTGGCAGATACTAAACAGTCATGTCAAAACGAACTTGGAAGTCTGCAAGCAGTCATGTCCTTTTAAGGAAATAAAATGAAAATAGCAGAGGTGTGCTTAGAGGTGAATGGCCAGGGCCATGCCACAAGTGAATGCTTGAGCGAAATTCTCGTGGGATGTCCTTACTGCGCAGCGACAATGTCTCCCGTCCTCCTTTACTATTTGGTAGCAAACACAAAATGGAACATAAATGACACAAAATGAAGCATTAGGTCATAAGTTAGCCATAATATAGTCAGCAAATATCTAATTACATTTTTCCCGTCTATTTTTTCACTTCTGTAAAATAAATGGTGTGGGATTTAGTGTAGTGTAGATAATTTATTTCAGGTTTGCTTATGCATACATTTTGGATTCATTTGTAATGAATACAAGTTTTTTGACAGCCAACTAGCAACAGGTTGAGTTTTTCTTCACTGAGTTTGAATCAGCCTTTCTGGACATAGTTCATGTGACTATGGGGAAAGAGGTGTAATAGTAGCATTATGCGTTATGAAACAACTTACCTCTAAACATGTGCAGGAGAATTTTACTGGTGAAGGAGAACTGAGTTATTGAACTCTAGGAGGTGCTGATTATCCATGGACCTGGGTCTCTAGTACCTTTTTACTCATTCAAGCTCTAAGTAGTCAAGAATGTACTACGTAACTAAGTTGCAAATGTAACTTGGTGAGCCCCTGCTACAATTACTGTCCAATTATTACTATGATATTACCCACAGTTGGGTATGGAATGTGAGTTTTCATGGTACTTTTTAAATGTATCTATGTAGTTATTATTATTTTTTTTTTTGGCGAGTGTAAAGCTGTGAGACTAAAACTGAAAAGGGCCTGCTTGATTTTGTGTGCCAATGCTGGTGACAGAGATGGTTCGGGTGACACATGCTCCCTTGGGGAGAAATCCCTGAATGTTGCATGTTTAATGTTAAAATCTATCTGTTTCGTGATCAGTAGACAGCATGGTTTGAAGTCATAGAAGTTCTTGAGCCAAGTGATTTCTATGTGATTAATTCAATGCAGACAGGTGACCTTTTTAAAACTGCTAATACTATCAGATTTACAAAAATCTCCTTTTCTTGATTGGATGTACTTGGGAGTGCATTTTTGGCAGTAGCATTCAGTGGAAGGAATGTAACTTCAAAATACTTTTGCTGCTGGTTTATGCTAGCAAATGTGTGGTTTTCTTTTCATTTCCTGATTGCTTATTAGGGATATTATTTCTTTGTACTCAGCTATGCAACAAAACAAGAGGCTTGCTAAATGAAACCAGTCACTTAAGTTCTGCTTTGTTTAGTTCTCTGGGTGGGTATATTCAGCTAAATACTTTGTGTTGTGACACCTAATTCATAGCCTTTGGTGAAAATATCAGAGAAACTTATTACATTTACATGATAATCTCAGTGAGAAGCCTTTTCTTTCCAATTCTGTGTGCACACTTGGAATGCTAAAGTCTGCCTTTTAAGTAAAAATTCCAAATATGGACAATGTACACAAAGTTACCAGGTGAAACAAGGAAAGGGAATGTGATGGAGAGGGCATAATTCAATAGTTTCCAATTTGAAAATATGGAACAGGAAGACGTGTGCTTCTTCAGTGTGCCAGCCCATATCTGAGAAATTGCAGTGGATCTTCCATTGTATTACTTCCTGTCGTTTCTTTCTTCCTTCTTCTTCTTCCCTTTTTTTTTTGTTTTTGTTTTTGTTGGTAAGAGAGGTGGTGTTCGATATTGAAAACTCATTCTAGACCTTAAAAACTGTGCAGACCTGTTTACGTGGGAGACAAATGAAGCAGCCTCATCCCATCTTTACCACAGTATTTCAAATCAGAAAAGGATGGGGATGAAGTCCAGTTCACACATTAGTATTTTAAATCTATTTTTTTTAAATAAAAAGATGAAAATAACCTGAAATATTGATCGTTCCTGTAAGTAGAACTTTCTGCCCTAGTGCCAATTCCTAGAGGTTGGTGTAAATAGCTCGTGAGAGAGACTGTGTTATTGCCTCCGCGAAAAAACTGATTTTCCCTATTCATCCGAATCAATATTCTTTCGTGTCTGCAAAGTTCAGAAGATAAGAAGTCGCTGAACAATGCCCTGAAAGAAATTCTCGCAAAGGATAAACAAAGAAGCAGTATTTTTAAGGAAAACCTGAAAGTTGTCTCAATTTGACCGAACTTTGAAAGACAGTTGGGGGATTTAGGAAAGTTTCGGGGAGTCGGATTTGAAAGTAACTATAGAAAATCTAGCAGAAACGAAGCCCGAGGACTCCTGGATCCGTTTCCCCTGAATCCCCAATGTTTTCGTGCCCATGTTTCTTATATTTTTATCCTTTTTTAAGGGGCAACAAACACAGCCACAAGGCAGTGCCCAGGAGTCCTTCAGCAGAGCTCGGCGCAGGAGCAGGGAACCAATCACCATTCAGCTTGTGTCTATATAAACCCCTGCCGCCGGCGCAGGAGACACGCCGCTCCGATAGGCTCTGCTTACTTTTGGATTTCCTGGCAAAATAGAAAAATGTCGGAAACCGCTCCTGTTGCTCCTGCTGCTCCCGCACCTGCGGAGAAGACACCTGTGAAGAAGAAGGTGAAGAAGGCGGGCGCAGCTGCTGGCAAGCGCAAGGCCTCCGGGCCCCCGGTGTCCGAGCTCATCACCAAGGCTGTGGCCGCCTCCAAAGAGCGCAGCGGGGTCTCCCTGGCCGCGCTCAAGAAGGCGCTGGCGGCCGCCGGCTACGATGTGGAGAAGAACAACAGCCGCATCAAGCTGGGGCTCAAGAGCCTGGTGAGCAAGGGCACCCTGGTCCAGACCAAGGGCACCGGCGCCTCCGGCTCCTTCAAGCTCAACAAGAAGGCGGCTTCCGGGGAAGCCAAGCCCAAGCCTAAGAAGGCGGGCGCGGCCAAACCCAAGAAAACCGCAGTCTCCGCCAAGAAGCCCAAGAAGACCGGAGCTGCCACCCCTAAGAAGAGTGCCAAAAAGACCCCGAAGAAGGCGAAGAAGCCGGCAGCTGCTGCTGGTGCCAAGAAGGTGGCCAAGAGTCCCAAGAAGGTGAAAGCGGCCAAACCCAAGAAAGCTGCGAAGAGCCCCGCAAAGGCCAAAGCTGCAAAGCCCAAGGCCTCTAAGCCCAAGCCGACCAAGCCGAAGGTTGCGAAGGCGAAGAAGGCTGCCCCCAAGAAGAAGTAAACTTTCTGTCCGGAGCGTTCTGCTTCAAAAATCTCAAAAGGCTCTTTTCAGAGCCACCCAGAGCTATCATTGAAAAGGGCTGAGCCATCGTTGTGCCTGGATGAAACTGAACTTGAGTAAGCATTTTTAATTTTTTTTGAAACCGGCGCTCTGCGTTTTATTGGCTAGCTGCTTTTTTTTTTTTTTTTGCACTTAGCTCTAGGCGCATGCGCCTTCTATTAGCGATCTGGCTGACTTGCAAAAACTGCACGTTAGTCCTCCCTAGCTAGAAAGGCTGGTAACTGTCCATTGGCGATAGCCACCCTTCTGTGACAAGGTGTCTCCCATTTTAGTTGAGACCTGATACTCTTAACAGATCTTTCCCTCCCACAAGAACGCTCGCTGAGTGGCGTAGT